ATTTTTAGTTGTCCAGATAATTTCTTTCTATTTTTAGTAGAGACGGGGTCTCACTCTTGCTCAGGCTGGTCTCGAACTCCTGACCTTCAGCAATCCACCCGCCTCGGCCTCCCAGAGTGCTAGGATTACAGGTGTGAGCCACCGCGCCCGGCCTCGTAATTTCTTTTATAACAATTTTTCTTTCTGCCCAGGATCCAGTCTGGAATCATGCAGTGCAATTAGTCTCTTGACTCTTCTGGTCCTCTTTTTTACTTTTTTTGAAGGGCACAGGCCAGTTATTCTGTATGTTAGAATCTCTCATCTCTTTTATGTATATCTTAGAAACTTAATGAAGAGGGCAACCATGTAATTTATTGTCTAAACTGAGGCACTATTGAAAATGCAAGGGGAAGTTGTTAAGTACTTCAGGATATCAGGTAAAACCAGCACTGTCTCAGACAAACCAAAATATATGGTCCACCTCACTTATAACTTATTTTTGGACGAGTTGGATCCATAGTTCCCTGCAATAGAAAATAAATATGAATGAAGTAGTTTGTTTTCATGAACTAAGTTTAAGTGCTTTTTGGATAATTAAGAGAGAATTGACCCTGCTATGTGACTACTACAAAATAAAAATTACAGATCAGTTATTCTGAAATTAAAATCTTTGTTTATAGCTCGCTTAATTGTTAGCATTCCTACACAGCAAATTAATGAATGTAATTGTCTTGGCATGTATTTTTGCAACACTATTTTGAAATGTACACAGTAAATTGTATTTATTAAATGTGCTGAGTGTATTTTTAACATTTAGTAGTAGTAAAGTGTCACTTAGCATTGATGTAAGCAGTAAACAGCACTTAGCATTGATGAGACCAGTAACTATGCTTAACTTAGTTACTTAGCTCTAAAAATGTTTTTATTCCAGCTGGCTTCATAATGACTTAAAAGTGGCCCTAATAGGTAGTCCAGTGGACCTCACTTACACATATGACCACCTGGGAGACTCCCCGCAAATTCTTGAAGACATTGCTTCGGGTAGCCATTCATTTAGCCAGGTACTCTCAAGTTATATGTGTCTACTCTTGCTGACTTTTTAATTATGATTTTAAAATTTGTTTTTATAATCATTATGTGTCATTATTTAAAATGATAGCAATATAGAAAAGAACATGGAAAAAAGTAAAAAATTACCCAAAATACCACCACCGCAAACCAAGTATTGATGAAGCATCGTAATCATCTTTCTTTTTGTACATAGATCAAGGCAAGGTGGATGAATAGATAGGCAAACAATGAAATCATACTGTGCATGCTATTTTTTATTTACCAGGATTTAAATTTCCTTGAAATTATTTGAAAATAGGTAAAACTGAAAGAATGAACCTTTCTACTTTAATTGAATCTTTCTTTATTTCAAGAATTATTATTCCTTAAAGAAATTTTACCTGTTCCTTGAGTTCTTGCTTGCTTGAGAATGTCTGTTTTATTCCTGAAGAGACAGCTTGTCTGGGTATGAAATTTTAGGGTCACACTTTTTTCCCTTTCTGACCTTTATAAACACTGCCTTTTGTTTACCGTGGAGAAGCAAGAAGTCAGCACCCTTATTCTTCCCCCACCTTGTCCTAATTTCTCTTTCTTGTCTAGATACCTTATCCTTGAGACTTTATACTTGACTCTTTATCCTAGAAATTCAATAATTTGACCAAAATATGTCTTAATGGTGGTATTTTATAGGACATAGTGTACTTTTGGGCTGAAGATTCAAGATTCTCTTTATTTTAGGATTTTGTGTGTGTGTGCATGGTGGTGGTTGTGATTGTGATGGTGGTGTTTAAAAAACTAAGGGGGCCGGGCGCGGTGCCTCACGCCTGTAATCCTAGCTCTCTGGGAGGCCGAGGC